TTTATCGTCAAATTTCTATGAATGCGCGCAAATGTAGAATTTTAATAATCCGTAAATACAAGAAATTATTTATAATTATTAAACAATTAAAATGTTCACTATTTTCTTAAAGTTTACTATTTCATTTTCATGTTCAAAACTCTTGTTTAATGTGCAAATGTTTTCTCATTTTTCATTGAAATAATTAAAATATTTTACTATTATATATATATCTTTCTGATTATATAATATTTGCTAAAATTGATGTAGAATTACTTGACAAGTTCCAAGTATTATTCATATATGTTTATATAAGCTACTTGGCAAATGTTTAAATGTTTAAATTTAAATAGTTTGTAATTCTATATTAAATCTTTACAACATAAATGATTTTAATATATAGAAATAATTACAAATAATTATATTTTTTCAAAAAAATGCTTGTAAAATCATTTACGCTCATTTTAACATATTTGAATCGAAACGCAGCAATGAAGAGTGCTGCATATAAAAATGTGTCTAAAGTTTGAGATACGCAGGTGCAGCTTCGTGACGTTTCGCGTTTCCGAACGATTATTTAAACAATTGCCTAATTGTTATTGCTTCCTTATTGAGTGTGCGAAACAACGAACTATCATTGTCGTGGCCGAATACGAATTGTTTGAACGTGGCACAAACGAATCGCATTTCGCAAATATTTATTTACATTAAAATTTATATAATATTAAATACAACGCTGAAATAAAAATCGATTAAACAAGTATTGAATTTAATTTAATAATCTTCAAATATATTTATTATTTTTATAAAAATTTCCTAAAATTGATCAAATATTACTTGGCAAGTTACAAGTAATATTCATATATGTTTATATAAGTAATTGCACCAATCAATCAAATCAATAAAAACATTTATTTATTGAGACTACTTCTACAAGTACTTCTATAAGTTACTTGGCAAATATTGTTTAGTATATAATTATTTCAATATAAACATGGAATGAAATGCATTATTTACAAATACATTTTTCTATAATTGTTTGAATTTGTAATAATTAACGCTCGTTTCAAAATATTTAACGTTTGAGATACGCAGTTGCAGCTGATTCTTCGTGACGATTCGCGACTATTCGTATTTCCGAACGATTGTTTAAACAATCGCCTAATTTGTATTACTTTCTTATCTATCAATAATGCAGGTGTTCACACTGCACTCTTTTCGTGCCCAAATATGGATTTGTTTATACGTACGCACCTGCAGCTGTGATTTATCGAAACGCAGGTGTGTGGAAATTTTATCGTCAAATTTTAATAATCCGTAAATACAATAAATTATTTATAATTACTAAATACTAAAAATGTTTACTATTTTCTTAAAGTTTACTATTTCATTTTCCTTATAAAGTGTTATATTTGAATGTATTCTACATGATGTACAAGTGAAAGTAGTTTATTTCAACGTACAAGTACTTACATAAGTTACTTGGCAAATATCGCTTATCGATATTAAACAATTTGTATTACTTTCTTATCGAATGTGCGAAATAACGCACTATCATTTTCATGGCTCAATTGTTTAGATGTGGCGCAGCAGCATTTCGCAAATGTTTTATTACATTTCAAATTTATTAAATATTAAAAATAGCATAAAACGTTCAAAACGTTCTGCAAATGTTTTGTCACTTTTCATTGAAATAATTAAAATATTTTACTATTTTATTTTATATCTATCTTTCTGATTATATAATATTTGCTAAAATTTATGTAAAATTACTTGGAAAGTTACAAATAATATTCATATATGTTTATATAAGTAATTGCAACAATCAATCTAATCAACAAAAACATTTATATTTTGAGACTACTTCTACAATTACTTCTATAAGTTACTTGGCAAATATTGTTTAGTATATAATTATTTCAATTTAAACATAGAATGAAATGCATTATTTACATATACATTTTTTCCATAATTGTTTGAATTTGTAATAATTAACGCTCGTTTCAAAATATTCGAATAGAACCGCAGCATTTTTCATGCGAATATAAAAATGTGTTTAACGTTTGAGATACGTAGTTGCAGCTGATTCTTCGTAACGATTCGCGACTATTCGCATTTCCGAATGATTGTTTAAACAATGCAGGTGTTCACACTGCACTCTTTTTATGCCCAAATATGGATTTGTTTATACGTACGCTCTTGCAGCTGTGATTCATCGAAACGCAGGTGTGTGCGAAGTTTTATTGTTAAATTTCTATGAAACGCGCAAATATATAATTTTAATAATCTGTAAATACAAGAAATTATTTATAATTACTAAACAATTAAAATGTCCACAATTTTCTTAAAAATTTTCTATTTCATTTTCCTTATAAAGTGTTATATTTTAATGTGGGCGACTAATAGCCGAATTAACCATTCGTCCTACCCACGATTTCGTGGGCGCCGGTTCGAATCCTGGTCAAGCCAGGCCCTTTGTGAGCCTTCTCGTTCATAACAGAATCAAATCATCATAATGGTAACAATCCACCGGGAAAGATTATCCATTTAATGCGATCTTAAATTTACTCAATGAACAGATTGTGTATAAAATTATACGACATAAAAAAATTAACATGCATTTCATCAAATTACTTCTTTTTGTGGAAATTAGTCTAAAGTTAATTCCTTTCCTAAATCAGGATAATTTTCACTAAAAAAGTTAAACCTTTTAAAATCCATTTCAGCTATCAAATTATCGAATTTTTGGAACAATTGCGGATTTCGTTGTATCGAAGCATAGTTATTAAAGAACAAAACAATGTATAACTGAATTAACTATATTGTTTTTAAATAATAGTGTAAATTTTAGTAGCTAATAATGTAAGCATATTTTTGTGGAATCTGAAGTTGTGATCGTAAACCGCGTTGCGGTTGAAATAGAGCAGAGACCGTGTCCACTGTCAAACGCAGAATATCGGATAATTTATACATATATATATATATTGCATTAACATTTGTGATGATTTGTGATGATTTGTGATTCCGTTCCACCTCTGCTTACTATAATTTCAACGGGATTCAATATACTTCGAAGCTGTGTACACTTGAGAAGCAATTTAAGAATTGTCGTGGATGCGGATTCCAATTTTAGCTTGGATCGGATCCGATTTATAGAACTGCACTTTATCAAATCCCAACTAACCAGCTCCTCCTCCCACTGTTATTTGCACCAGTTCCGGGTGGTGTGTTTCTTACCGAAAGCTATTTGCAATATCCGAGTGTTAATGATTGTATTCCCTTTGTTCCGTCCAGAGGAGCGGACCGATTTCTATGCGTCATTTGAGACGTGAGACGATAAATTAGCTTCCTCGAAATCCTCCTGAATCCTTGGAGAACAATCCTCGTCCAGGAAGAAGAGAGAGATAGAAAGAGATACACAGAGAGAGAAAGAGAGAAACGATAATGCCCCATTTTCGATTTGATTATCCCCGGAGAACCTTTAAAACCTGCGCCTGGAGACGCCCACCAAAAAAACATGAATAATTGAACGTTTTTAAAAAGTTGAGAACAGCCGCGCGAAAATAATCATACCTATTACGAGAGCAATTACGATGCATGCAAATGAAATGGAATTTCAATTATTTAAATGCATTTACGTATATATAAATATATAAAATACGAGAGGGATCACATCGTGATAGCAGCACATTCTGACCATAAATTCCGAACATCCATTACATTAGTTCGCGCACTTTTTTTTTTGTTGCGTCGCTCCGAATCCGTTTTAATTGGTGCATTGGAATTGATCGGAATCATGGAGCAAAACTACTACGACTATTATTTGCGTTACATAAGTGTTGTAGGAATGGGCCGTGTCGAAGTCTTCTGGTCAAGAACAAGAAAATATTTATACTACATGAAAGGAATTTTTTGTTTGGCTTTGATTCTGTACTCGGCTATTTTCGGCTCCGTTGATGTAATACTCAAAGAGGAATTCGACGTGAACGAAATCTCCTCCAATCTGATAGACATAAGCAAGTATAATTCACGGTTTTGTAAACATTTTTTGTTGCAATTAACGCGTCTTTAATAGGTATTTCCATGAACTGCATTTTTCGATTAATTTATATGATGTACAATAATCACAAGGTTATGGATATCATTGATACACTGAACGCATTTAAAAAGTATACTCTGAATGGGAAAGAAGTTGTCTGGATGGAACCTGGGGCTAGGAATGCTAGAAGGGTTGTGATTTGTTGGCTTATCTTTGCCATAGGCTGCATATTGTTCTTAGATCTACTTACATTAATCGAGATTATATACAGCGGAGAGAAGTATTGCAAATATGTAACATCGTTATATTACTTTTTTTGTTTGTAGGAAACTGTTTACACCTATGTTTACTTTATATGATTACGAAGAATTCCCCTACTATGAATTAACTTTACTTTATGAAATTACAACTCAATTGCTTAATGCCTACACTTATATAAGTATGGATATCTTTTTCTTCATGACTGTAGTGTTAATCAACAATCAAGTCGACATATTAGGTAATTCGTATTATTATTATAACTGTTAACAATTGGATCTTGATAAAAGGTTAAGAAACGCTTAAATATACTAAATGTAAAATAAATACAGTCCGTTTGATACATATTTCCATATATGATTCACCCTGTATTTACGCTCTGGTAAGCAGTATACGTAATGCGCATCAACAAATAGCACGGTGAATCCATGATCAAAGCTGTCAGAACTGTAGAAATCGTACCCGAATGAGTAACTAATTGTATATTATTTTAAGTAAACTGTATATGATTTTTGTGATGTTAAATATTTATTATGTTTCACAGCCAGCGATTTAAGGAACCTCATGTATTTACCAAACGAACAAAATGCAATGGAAAACGTAAAGAATATAAATAGGTAATTGGTTCTCAAAAAAAAAATCAATTAAGAAAACAATTTTCGCTTCAGAGTTTTAAAGTGAACGTAATTTAAAATGAAATTGGCGAAAGCAATAATTATTTAGCAATAGAAACCTGAATGAAATTCAAATGAAATTCGGGTAATTTAACGATTCCAGCACACACTTCCTGACTTCCTAACTTTTGCGTTTCGCCAAATAAAGTTTCATGTACGGTTTTCAGTAACGAAACAGCGAGTGGCGGAACGTGGAGATGCGGTAAAAGTTTAGACACAACTTTGGCCGAATGTATAAGCCACCACCAACAGTTGCTGGTTCTTATTGGAAAACTGCAGGATCTGCTCTCGTTGCCTTCGTTCCTCCAATGCATCTTCTCGACAACTTACATCATGCTAGGATTATTCCTCATCGTTATTGTAAGGATTTTATAATCGTTTCGTTTATTTACTGCATCGACGACTTGTTTCAGTCTGATGAAAAATCGGATGCAATGAATGGAGCTACTTACTTGTACGGCGCATCCATCCAAATAACTTTTCTTTCTATCTTCGGTCAATTATTGACTAACAAAGTGTTTGGTTCAATTAAATTTCTTGTATCATCAAATTAATTACAAAAATGTTTTAGTTTGAGAGCCTGAGTGAGGCCGTTTACGAAATGCCCTGGTATTTGGAAAACAGGAAAAGTTTCTCGATGACCATCATCTTACTACAAATGAAGCTCCGGCAGCCAGTAAAAATCTCCGCCGGTAAATTCTTCGACTTATCGCATGCGACGTACGCGACAGTAAGTTATCGAACTTTCCGAACTTTTACGAAACCTTAATCCTTTCGCCTTTCACAGATCGTCCACTCTTCTTTTACCTATTTCACCGTCCTCAGAGAAGTCACAGGCAACAATTAAATACGCAGCGATATGAAACTGCACTTTGGGCACTTTCATTAAGTTCGCAACTTGAAAATGAATAACCATTAATTACTTTCAGTTTCCTGGGAATAGCTTGGACAAATCTTATTAAGCTTTCGTAATCGCTGTTACCAAGTTTTTAATGGCTTTCACGCCAACTGCGTTCAGCAAAACATCTGCAAATAAATCGCAGACATTAGCGTCTTATTTCCAATTAAAATTGTGGAAGCATCTATAATTTGTATTGACATTATTTTTGCAAAATGTTTTGTAATTATTAATGCAAAAATGACTAATTTAATCTTTAATCTATTCGAAATAGCATTAGAAAGTTACAATTAAAGCTTTTCACAATTAACAGAACAGAAAGCATAGACACAAATTGATTAAATTAACTAATTTGTAATTAGTCGAAGCAAATATTATGTAAGACAAGTTAACGTTAATTAAAACTATTCAAATATTTGTATTAATACAACTAAAAATCTCTATTAATCTAATATTTAAATTAATATATTTCTTCGTAGACAAACATTTGGGAATTACAAAATAAAAAACTTATTTTATTTTAAATGGTTGAAATTATGTTAACATGCGTCGATGACCGCTGCTGTTTACTACGGCATGTCTTGCGTTTAAAGAGTTGTATATTTTTCCAAACTATTCTTGATGAGCTAATTTCAAATTGTTTTCACATTTCAGTAAAATAAACGAACGTCCGAGTGCTTCGACCTTCGCTGCGACAAAATCAAATCGTTGCACTTGAAATGTACTTACGCATTAATGAATAATACTGAATTTCGAACTCATAACATTTAATGGAAAGATTTTATTTTCTTTTACTATTGTAGGTTTTTATGTTATTTTCTCTTGAAAAAAAAATGTTGAAATTGCTTTCTGACCCTCATAAGTGTATTACATAGACTGGACAATAGACCAATCAGTAGATCCAAGAATACTTCTAACTTCATTCCTATCAACCTATTAAATTAAATTTCCATATGCAAATCAGATAATACCTCGCATAGTGTAGGTATTACTATAGTTCGCTTTGAATATTTCAAAACAAACTAAATATTAATTGCTCAAAATAATTATGAATTCTAATTAGTACACAACATTATTATTAATACAGGTATCAACGAATCGGGGTAAATTGTATATGTAAATTGTAATATTAGAATTTATATCCCTTGTAATAATTACCCCCTTATTTTGGGGTAATAATTAAAAAAAAAAGTTCCTCAACCCATGTTCCAATGTATTATTATTGAAAGCAATTATTTTATGAATATAAAACTCAATTTCTCGTTATAAACTGACATTCATATCAGATATTATCTGCATTTTGGGAATTCGTATAAAAGGCACAAAAAAAAAACCAATTATAGGAATGCAATTCATTTGGAAGCGCACAACATCCAATAATGTAAACAACCAAATTCCATTGCCAGTAAACGAGTTTTAGTGGTCACAAATTCAAAACAGGTACGGTGTTCGAGAGGCAAATGGAAAGTTATAATAACAATTGTTTGAATGATCAAATTTATAATATTATAATTCTGTATATAAAATTATAAATTTGCTTTACAGATAATTATGAATTCAGATAATAATAAAATCTGAATATACATTGATTTCTTACACTTTGAATTCTATTCCGTAATCTTTTTTAATCTTCTTTCTTCGTAATTACACTAGAGGCAAAGTTCAATTGCATCATCAAATTGTTTTTCAACAAATATCTAAATATAATCATTAATGTATACAAAAAATAATAATAATATTATTATTGTTTAAAGATAATTTACTGATTTTTGTATAATTATGTATAAGTTTTTAAAAAACTTTGCTATTTTTTGAAATAATTGAATCTAATCCATTCTTTTCTATGTTTTCTAAAGATATTTCTGTGTTTTATAGCCATAATCCATATCGGCGTGGTTGTGGTTTCAGGGTGGAGCAATTTTTAATACGAACAAAGGCGAGGGCGCCGGAAAAAGGGAAAAGTGTTTGTATGAGCGCATGGGATCTCATCTAAGAAATGAGTAATGTCTCCACCATTAATCATCTCCTTTTGCACGATCCAACCCCCGCATCTAACACACACACGCGTTCATACACATGTTTGTGCACAAACAAAATGCGGTACGTTTGTTGACCCAACCCGTAACAGCAAAAAAAAACGGCCCCAAGAGATCAATCCAATTTTGGTAACAGAATGAATCCTCAAGACAAAAAAAGATTAGTCGGATTAGCGCGCCGCAAATTTCTTAACACGTTAATGAAGTTCCTAAATTGGTGTAATTGAAATTTCCAATTAGTGGCAAATTAATTTAAGCCTCCGGTGAGAAGTGATCCGAGCACCAGATATTTGGGTTGCATATTTCCATTGCTCTTGGTATAATTACCAGTAAATATGAAGAGAGTGAATATGGTGGGAGAGAACACTCGCATGTTGACTTCTAGGTCAAGCATTGGCGAATAATGCGAATCGATAATTAAAATACGATTTCTAATAAATATTTGTATTTGGAACGTCGGGACGGAAACCAATTTCCAAGAACGCGTTATCTGTTTGTTTACTTGGATGATACTGTTCTCGGAATTCTTCTCGCTTCTGCGTGTTAAAGGAATATAGCCTCATTAACAGAAGCAGTGAATCAGTGGATTTAAGTGGGGGGATAGCTGGAAAGTAGAAAAATTATTATACGTTTTTGAGGCAACAGTCCCAAGGTTTCTGAGCGGCAGTCATGCGGTTGATGGCGACGGCGTTGCAAATATTGTAAATACTGTTGGAAACGCGCTACAAAAATTGGATTAAAATCGTTGATGACGTCTCCATTCCGAGATTTCGCGTGACGCACAGGCGTATAACTTATTTGCATCGGATCGCTCTTCATTGCAACTTGTGTAGCCCGCGAGGGCAGCCGTGATAACTTTATAGTTAACCTTTGATAAGTGAACAAACAATGAAGTGCTTTAAATATTTTATATTTTTAGCGCTGGTTCTCTTGGAAATTGAAGCCAGGAGAATCGGCGGAGGTGGTTCGAGGAGAACGGGAAGCAGCAGCAGCAGCAGTAGAACTCACAGTAGTTCCTCGTGGGGTAATTCCAGGCCTAGACCTCAACCTAATGTAGACCACGTGAGGTTGTCGTACGGGAGTAGCAGACCTTCAGCTCCGAAACCCAAACCTGTCGAACCTGCGAAACCAACGCAACATAATACTCAAACACACAACAACAATAAGCCCAGTGCACCACCACCTATTGGATTTGATAATGTTAACAAGCAAAGTGCTACAAATGTGAATACTGCGCCCAAACCGAGCGCTCCAGGTGCTCCCGTAGGCTTCGATAATGTCAACAAGCAGACGGTCACTAATCAACAATCGGGAAAACCCATTGGATTCGATAATGCCAATAAGCAAACCGTTACGAATCAGCAAAATTCTCATCAACCGAGCGCTCCGATTGGCTTCGACAACGTCAATAAACAGACAGCAACGAACCAGCAGAACGCGCCGAAACCCATTGGCTTCGATAATGTGAACAAAGCTGCAGCTGGTTCACCACCAGGTCAACCACCAATTAACCAACAACATGTTTCAACCAACCAGAATGGACCACCACCGCCATACAACCCGAACTATAACCAACATCCGCCACCGTACAGCCCTCACCCTCAAAATCCTCCTCCGTACAGCGCTCACCCCCAAAATCCTCCTCCCTACAGCCCACACGCTCCTAATTACAATCAAAATCCAGGATACCATCCCAACCAGCCGCATTACAATAATCCCAATTACCCGCAGCAAGGATATCACCCGCATCAACAAAACAATTTTGGATCGTATCAACCTAACCATTATGGTGGATCCTATCAACCGCCAGGTACAAACATCCATTATGGTCCTGTAACATACGTCAATGGATATCAAACTCCGTCCTACAGCTACGTACACGACAGATCCGACAATACTCTTCTAAGTTTATACGTGGGATATAAAATCGGTCAACTGTTCAGCCACTCGCATTCATCCGCTTTCTCCAGCCACACATATTACGTTCATCATTACCATGACGATAACAAACCACAGAGTGTACCGGCAAAGGTCAACGTCGAAGCATCAACAATAGTAACTTGCGATCAAAACGTAGGGCTCCTCTGCATACCCAACACTTCTCCAGTATGCATGTCGAACGGAACGATCATGTGCATAACCGGCACTTCGGCTACGATCCCATGCAAGGATAACGCTAATGTGAACTGCGTCGAAAGTAAAATTGATTGCACGAACTCCACAACTCCTGGATGTGGAAACGCAACCGATAAAACAGCCGCTCTGAGCGTACCATGCGTCTCCAGCGTGACCATCGTCGGTGATTTCAAAATGAATGCCAACTCTACAGAAACCACCCCGACGATAGCCAATACCACCGTATCCGAAACAAGTAACGGCACCCACACGACGATATTTTGCGTCACTGTACTTGCTGTACCTAAAGATGTAAACACTACAGCCCTGCCCGCTCCAAGTCCGCTGGCTAGTCCGGAAATCAAGGAGCAAGCATCAACGTTTTTCGGAAATTTGCTCGATCATTTATTCACTTGAAAGCAATCTAGTATATAAAATGTTGTCATAAATATATTTTAAATAAAGTTTTTAACCGCTGTTCTTGTTATTTCATTTCAACCAGCTGAATTTCCCTCATTTAAACAATTGTAGTCAATTAATTTTAATTGGAAAGATTTTATCTATGAAACTCGTTGCGGTGTTCCGCTTGCAAACATGTTTTTTTTTATATTTATGACGAGTCTCGTTGGATATAAATTTCGTAACGTATAAAACGTAAAATGTATGCAATATATTCTGGGAAATCCAATGTATTGAATTGTACAATTGATAAATAATGACTATAAGATAGGTTTTTTCCATTTGTCTACAATTCTCCAGATATGTTTTATTTGTTATGTAATTGATTAATATAAACAATATAGTTTCGGTAATTGAAAAAAAAGAAAACTTTTTAATTATTTGGGAAGTGCAGACAATCTTTTCAACTGGACAAACAGCAAACAATTTTATTGTACTACAAAAACTATATAAATATAGGAAAACAACACAAACAAATCATCTTATTTTTATACACATAATAAAGGTCAAGGCAGATCAAAACTTAACTGATTAATGAACGTATAACAAAGTAAACAGAAACTGTAGAAATATAATAACGTTCACGCTACGCTCTTGAAAACAAAATAGTTATAGTAATTTTATTTTGGAGGAAACAGTGATTGAGAATGTGACGGAACGAATACAATCTCGAATAGAGATTTCTTTGTATCCGTTCAACTTTCGCTTTAGCTTTTGTTGTGCGTTTTTGCGAGCTTCTTTGATCCGGAATAGTCGTCTGGTTGGAAGGCGCCGGTGGGATTGATCCTGCTGGCTAGACTCTCCTCCACCTTACCGTGTATCCGCGGATCAGAACCTTCGCGGCGGAACATACACGGAAATCTCGTCAATGAACTATTCAAATACACATAACACGAGTCATCATGTGAAAGTCAAAAAACTGGTTCATAGCATACAACGTGTATGGTTATTGTTGTTTGCGTTCGCTTCCTCCCGTTCGTCATCCATAACGGAAGTTTCTTCCGTGTAGAGTTTTATTCTAATGAAAACAGACATCAAATACACTTCTGCCTGGATCGTGATAACACATTCATGTTTTCGCCCAAGACAAATGGTTTTCATTTCAATAATTGATTTGTTTACAAGCTATGTTATTTGATTACGCACTGTAAATATTAAATTAAATAGTTGTGATCTGTTTGACTGAAGAATCCACATAAATATTTCATATAACACGATAATTTGTTTATGTAATGATAACAAGCAAAGGTATTTATAACTTTTTTTTAATTTTATCTGAAATGATAAAAATTGCATGAATTAACATAAAATGTTCATACTTCTAAAATATTCTAGATTATTAATATTACATTATCTTATGTTTTTTATTGTCTAAGAAATAAACAACTTAAATCATTTAATAATATAAAGTAACTTGTTAGGTACAGAACATTTTCTTTAAAATTTTAAGACTAATCACTAAAGTATGTTCTACATTAAATGTCTACATCTAAATTATTAACTTTGGGGCTAATGGGAAATGTTTTATTTCTAAATTAAATTTATTTCAATATCATATAAAAGCGTTAGATCTTAGAAGAATTATAAAATTTAGTATAGAAAAGATAAAGATATTTTTATATATATTAGTTTTGTATAAGAGCATCTTCTGACATTATTGATTTTCCTCTACAGATTCGTAAGGTGTCACTGCATTTATAAGAGCCAGAGAAGTCTAGAGCAAATAATTCTTCTTGGCAGATTTCGTTGTCTATTCCCGCATTACCCCAGGGAACCAATTGAACTAACCAATTTATTTTCTTACATACTTAACCCGAACTTATCCTTTTTATTTCAGTCTCAAAATAAAAATGTTTTATAACAAAACAATAGTCAGATAGTTTTATCATTATAAACTTAATGTAATTTTCAATTGCTTCAATTTTAAGAAATTGATAGAATTCGTCATTTAGATCCAGAAATAAGAATATTATGCACAATGACTATAAGATAAAGTAAAAATTATTATCATTTATAAAATAAGTAAATAAAATAAGAAAACACTGAACAACAGAAAAATTAAATCGTTTTAAATACATTTAAAAATAATGCGTCAACGATTGCTGACAATTTAATAATTAACAAATTAATTTCGATGTAAACTTGAGTTTAATTTGTTCAATGAATCATCCATCGTATTATTGTTGTCGCTCGTCGTAAAACAACAAAATGTTTTGAAATTTAATCTCTCCGCGCTACTTTTCTAATGGACGAAAACAATAATAATATTTCTGTGTAAACTCTTACCACGTGGAAATGAATATACTGTGCTCTACACATGTATAAGACATAAAACTTCTTTAGGAGTTTCATATTATATTACACTGTGTACGTTTGAAACTTAATACGCGAATGTTAAAATCACTATTTATATTGCGGTTTTAAGATCGATAAAGTCGAAATAACATTTGTATTCAATTGGAAACGAAATCTAACTGCGTTCTGTTAACGTACACAAAATAACGTACTAAAATTGTACAGTCATACTTTGATCTACCAAACTTCGATTTCAGAGGTAAATACTACTTTGTGAAGAACATTAAAACCTTTTTTTCGAACCATTTAAAGTTTTATTAAATGTACATTTAAATTCTTTACAAAATGAGTCTAAAGTTGATTGTTTGTTATAAACATAAGTCAGAAAACGGTGGTAAAACGAGCAAGATTCATAAATTTTGTTGTTTCTTTCGTGGTTGTTCTTTAGAAGAGATTATAGTACAATTGCATGGAAAAGATAGAAGTATTTTGAATACTGAATTGTTGCTTTAATTAGAAAGGAAGGAAAAACTCAATTAATTACTGTTGTTATCTATATTTCGAGCTTTATGAAATCTTTCGAAAATGCAAGGAAATGAAGTCAAGGGCTTTTATATATTCAATTAAAAGATTATTATCGCAGGGGAAGCTATTAACCATCAGAGGATAACGAAGTTTTCCTAGACCCACTCACAGAGGGCACACAAAAAAAAGTAGAAGGAAGGGAAGGAGAGACCCTTTGATTTTGTCGTGGTCGACTAATAACGTTTAGTGCAAGTGAACGACGGACAAATTGCGTCGCTGAATCAATTTGGCGTTGTGTGTATGAAATCATTAGTTCGACGTTGCCGGGAAAATTATTAAGTTAATTCCACAATTAAATGTGTCCGCGGCAGGCGGGAATATCCACTCGCCGGGGATTCCCCGTACGCTCGTTTCTCTCCATGTATATACACACACTCGATTGCACCATCATGCCTCGAATTATTAGCTCGCTGAGTATTAATTTATATCCAGTAAAACCCGAAACCAATAAAACCACCACCACCAGCGCCACCCGTTTATTAATCACTTAATTCCCACCAATATAAATTTCGCCAATTACGGAGAAAACCAAACATAAATGGGAATTGGAAAGTATGGAACATTTCAATTACACCACGGCGGAAAGCTCTCACATTCGGCACACAAATATTAATTGAAAATTGATTTTCGTTTCTATTGTTCCGCCTCTAATTCCAACGAACGCATCAACAATTACGTGCATTTCAATTACTCCTTAATATTTCCACAAACTCTTAGTTAACTTAACGATTTCAGAAAAGGCAATTAAGGAAATTATTATGAACATCTTTTAAATGATTATCAAAACAGAATTACGTTGGATTGAGATACAATTTATGATTCGCTTCGGCCGAATCCACTTTATTAATATCCAGTTCCACCAGTCCGACATCCGATGCTGAATTCCACACATATTGATGATCGGAACTGAAATTTCATTTGCCTCACCGAATGCCAGCTACCACTGTCTTCTTACATTTCACGAAACGTAATATATTCAGGTTTTACATCAGAACTTATTATTAAATTTACTTCAGGCTGTTCGGTATTAAAAAAGGATTTGAAGGTGTTCGCTTTTATTCGCATGTGGAAAAAAATATGTGTGTGTTAAGTTGAGAGCAGGTGGTGGAGAAGGCAGCTTCAGACATTTAAGTGTCATCATCGTAGTCCTTTTTTTTTATCTCAAACCCTCTTATACCACTCTCTCTATGTGCCTTTCATAAATTAAAACTACGCTAAAGTTGGTGGCGGAAATTAAGATGCCGAAGAACTGAACGAAATTACTGAGAAGAGAATGGAAGTCCTCAAAGTCTCTTTTCTTTTTTGTATTGTTTACGTATAATAATTAATTCAGTTTAAATGGAATTGGTTTATAAAAACTGGGGATTTATAAAATTGCAGCTCAGTTCTCTTCTCGACCTCTGCAGGCGATGCCGACAGCGTTTCCACAGTGTATACGTTAATTAAATTTAATCTTGGTAGAGCTTTTCGCGAAGAGAGAAAAGTGTGATGCTTTATTATTTAGGTGGAAAGGTCTGCAATAGATTTCGGATATGGAAATCTCGCGGATTATGTGATGCGCTCTCGGATTTTGGGGAAGCGTTGTTCGTAACTGTTTCGTACATATATATTAATCAGAACTAATGAAATTAGTTTCAACTTCTCCTCCATCCCATGGAATGTTAATTAATTCCAAAATTGGAGAAGGAAACAAACTACGGATTATTTCGAGATTTCTCCTTGCGGCACAACAAAAATCAATATCGTTCGTCTTCCACGAACATACTTTGTATTCATATTGTATTTGCTCTTGATGCTAATACAATATCTACGTTGTAAATGAATTTAAGTGTCCGTCAATTTTTACACTCGACACGGGAATATCAATTTTTATTATCATATTTTTACAACAATTTAGCAACAGTTAAAGCCAAAATTATTAATAATCGAGCATTTTTTATAATAAAAAGTTTTTTGTAATAAAATAAGATTAAATTATTCTAAAATTGGAAAAAATATACAATATTTGCGTGTATTAAAAATTCATTATCTTGTTATGGTACATTTTTCATAATACTGTACTAAAAATATACACGTAACCAGCAATTAATCAATGAGCAGATTACCTCTTAATCTGTCATCGCCTAATTAATTATGCG